AGAAAGTATTCATAATACACACAAAACTGTTACGGACTCATTTATTATCCAAAAAAATTAGAAAAATTCTTAAATTATACCCTATCAATAATTAGTTAGGTATATGAAATATTGGCAGTTTTAATTAATTTGAAGTCGCGATTTATCAAGTGCGCGTAATCGATGCACCACCCGGTATACCTATTGTAACTCATTTTTGAGACAACCTGTATAATCGAAAAATAATTCTATGCTGTATTCTGTACAAATTAATATCAAATAAATAAATAACACTTTTTGTAAAGTAAACGAAAAAAAGTAATGAAGGATTGTACGCTATTGGCATTCTTTTTTAATAAAATTCTTTCTTTTTTAATTCAATTTATGTTATAGTCTAAGTAGACTAATACTAATATGTCTCTCATCTTTAAAAAAATGGAGAAAGAATTGACCTAAATCCCCCTTTAAGCCACAATTTTTCGGTCAAGTGCCACCTTATGGCTTTAAATCTTCTGGGACACGTGTAACTTTTTCTGCGCACTCTTTCATCGAAAATCTTCTCTTAAAATTTATGTTAGATCCGGCGGATTTCCCTAAAAAGTTTTTCCGCCGTCCATAAATTTCATTTAGAGAGACACAATTGAGTCTAGGATATCGATTAAAGAATGCCAGAAAGAAGTGGAGGGTTTGTTGTATAGCGGCTATGTTAAATGCACATCGGCGAACGAGCAATAAAGTAGTATATGTAGTGAATGTGCGACCATAAATAACCCATTAGGGATGTGCTGTTGCGACCCTTCACCGTCTATGACAAACTGGAGCCCTCCGGGACCACTCATGCGGAAATGCTGCTGTTTCTGCCCTCGCGATGTCTTCTTGTCAGTGGGATCGTAAAAGAGATTCACATTACTGATAAATTGGGATGCCGGATTGGATCGGCTGACTTGATATTAAAATTTATTTATTGGTGGAAGGATGGCCCTTTTGGTGCAGTAATACGACTAAAAATTATTCTGATGCTTTCTATGCAATAGAATTTAAAAGCGACCTTATTTTCATTTATTTTCTAACGAATTTACGAAAATGATTAACAAAAACATGTAAATTAATTAACTTAGAAAAAAAATAACTTGTAGGGTTGGTTTACAGAAACGTCATTAAGTTAATTGCAATCAAACGTCCGATTAACTGATCATGTGACAAAATTGAACCAACCAGATGCTCAGATTCACGGGCTAATCGTGCAATCGTGCATTAACTTTTAACGACGAATTAATTTTTAATTCTTCCGTAAACCGATCCGTATAAAGTTTTAGAAACTCAAAACGCAAAACTTTAAATTACCTAAATCATAAATTCTTTTAAATATAAATCATTAAAAAAACCATTGATGATGAGTTAATTTTTCAAGCTTCACTGAAAAAAATCTTAACAAACATATCTTTCTAAATCTATTATTATAAAATATTCAAAAAGCTGTTTTTTACATAAACCCTTCATCTTGTACGTAATTAAAATCTTAAAGACTTGTTACTTGTTAGACTCTCAATCAATAAAAATATTCCTCGCATTATGAATTGAAGGTTTAAATTTTTATTTGTTTTAGGCGTTTACTATTTTTTTTTTTTAATTTAACATATTGACAGTCTTCTTATGTTTGCAAATGTCATAAATTTAACAACAAAACTAATAAATATTTGATAACAATCAGAATTAAAAAAGGTACATTAATTATTTTTAAACTTATGTTACATTTATTGAGTGTTCTTATTTGCATATACAGTGCGATCAAAAAGTCTTTCTATCAAGCGAGCAGAGAAATTTAGAAAGTAAAATATGTCTGCAGAAAATAAAACGTCTTTTAATTACAACTGAGAATGTCAAATTTATTTTTGTAGTAAATTCTGACATGAGTCCGAGTCATAAAGATAATCGAAATTTGAAATAGAAAGTTGTTTGTGGCACACGGTTAATAAAATAGGAAAAGTCTAGGATAGATAGCCATATTTTTGTCATGTTTTTTCAGAGGTTAAAAGAAATCAAGAGACTGTAGGGTGAGCACTAACACTCAGCATGGTCAAATTACAAATTAAATGTGTTTTTGTTCTTTTCAATCCAAAAATAAAATTTGCCTGGTGGCTCATCTCTCCTAACCATGCCTTGAAAGTTTTATTTTCAAAAAAAAAAGAAGAATTTGTTTAACTTAATTTATTGCCAACTAACTTAAAAACATGTAACTCTTAAAAAATCATTACAAAAATACAAGCCTGGGCCATATGGCCATATCTTCTGCTAGACTTACCCTCCTAATGTTAAATTAAAATCTAGTTTCAAAAATTGTTAATTTAATCATTTATACGTTTATTGATAAAAACTCAGAGTAAACAAAAATTGTTTGCAGTGTTTATAAGCTTTTACATTTTTTCATATTTATCAATACAGGGTGTCAGAATTCGCGCCCCATCAGAAGAAAATTTCAAGAAAGATAAGATACCAGGAACATGGAAAAAATGTTTAAAAAATTCTCTGTCAAAAAATTTTGACATTTATTTTTTGACATTTAACATTTTTTTATGTCTATTTATTAATGATACTGATGATCTTGTAGGTATACAGAATGCCCGGAAAGCCGCGCACCTCCGTGTATCATCGGGCGGTGCGTTAGACAACCAAAAAAAAATGTTTAAAAAAATCTATCTATAAAAACTTCGAATTTATGAGTTTAAATTTTGCATTTTGATTCTATTTATTTCTGTCGAAAAAATAATTTTCAAGTACAGGCTATTAGAAGAGGAAACAAGGAAGCTATATCCTAAATTGTAACTGTTTAGTATTAGTTGTGGCTTTTAAACGCTCTATTAGTGTGACGTCAACAAGGTACGTGACTGTACCTTTGAAGCTAAACAAATAAAAGTTTATTTCTTGAATCCTGGAAGTGTAGGGAGATTGTTACTAAGGAAATAGTTGCTATGAAAAATGTGTGTCGTTTCGTAATGGTTTTAACAATTGTAGTCATCATTTCTGTAATTTAATCTGTTCTAACCTCACTTTCTGTGTACGTCAAAAAAATGTGTACAGCATTGCCAGAATGTTGCAAACGACAGGAGTGGATAGGTCGTACCAAAACAAAACAAAATAAAAAATATTAACATTCACATAATGTGTATTTGGCTGAGAATATAAATTATTATTGGTTTACAAGTAAATATAAATATCTAGTAAAAAAAATGTAGTATCAATTTGGTACTCTAGTATCACAACTGGCAACACTGTATGCTTAGCTTCAGTACAGTCGCGTCTGTGACGTCACCTCTAATAGCCTCTAATTGGCAAAATTTTTGTACCTTTATTAAATAATTATAAAAAAAAACATATACAAGATCATCAGTACAGTTGGAGACAAAATACTTTGGTCGTCAATGTGACTTGAGTGACATTAAATTGTAAAGCGTGCTTTAGGACTGTTAACGTTATTTGTAGCTACTGTCAATCATAGTTGACAAATTGTACGTACATATTTTTGATAGGAAAATATAATAGCTGTCATTAATTTGAAATTGTCATTCATTTTAACGTTAAAGCTTGAATTACATTAAAGTGTCAGAAAAGTGATGACCAAAGTATTTTGTCTCCAACTGTATCCATAAATAGACATAAAAAAATGTCAAATGTCAAACAATAAATGTCAAAATTTTTTGACAGATAGAATTTTTTTAACATTTTTTCAGTACTCTAGGAGACTATCCAATTACTCCCTTTTACGAAGTGCAAAATTTAAAGTCTCATAATTTCGAAATTTTTAGAGATCACATAAGTACTCAACTAATTGATTATCTTGATTTGCATTTGATGCTCTCGGCATTTAAGTACAGCATTGCAGAAAAAATTATTTGAATGCGATAGATGACAAATTTGCAAACTAAATTGACACGGGGAAAACGGTTTCAAACTAAAGAAAATTCTATTTTTCGTTTTTATTGGAACCAACTGTATCTTGTTTTACATGGTATTTTTCTCTAGGGCGCGAGTTTTGGCGTACTCTATACAGTATACAGTATACACTAAAACAAGTGGTCAAAAAATGTAGTATTCTTACAAAACGGTAAATAAGTAATGTCTTAGAAGAATAGAATGAAGAATTATAAATTGCTAATAGGTATAAGTACAACACTATTTATTTGAAAATATGTAGGTAGTTTTATTCTATGTAACATCTTATCAAAGAAGTGATACACCAAAAACATTACACGTTTGTGACGTCACTATAATGTCTTATCTTAAATGTATGCATACATCCCGGATCTCCGCGGTCTTGCTTGCAACGATTTAACATTTTCACTTTCGCAAACGTTTTTTAGTAATTACTGTATAAATCTAAGATATAAGGATGACGTTTTCTTCCAAATAATAGCACAACCATAACCATCGTATGCATAATAGCCCCACCTCTCTAAAACCAAGTGCACATCACAAGTGGGTGTAAATAAAACCAAACTACCTTTTATCGACCCACAGCAATCGAAAGTCGTTACAATCTTTAGCAAACTTGCGTTGGCGACTCTAAATAGGACAAACAAAAGACCGTACTACAAGTGCATTCCAATCAAATCCATTCTAAAATCAACCATTAATTCATGCATTTTCTCGAACAGATAGAACAGCTTTCAATAAATAAACCTTCAACCTCAATCTACCGCATCTGGTTTTTATGAACCGCCTAATACAAACTGAATAAATTCCTTCGAACCATATTTGGACATTAAAAAAAACACCGAATAACAAGTTCATTCATGACAATTTTAATTACAAGAAACATAACACTTCAAGGAAACTACTGAAATCGCTTCCTTATTACTCGTTTGCGACTGATAACAGCCATTATCGGCTTAACTTGAGTGTGGATTGCTGTTTCAGTGCGTTAAATTTTCAAGTGTGAAATTTTCGAAATAACCCCAGGTACGCGCGAGGTGTTACGCCACTGGTCGAACTCGGCTCGTCAGGGGGCGCCACTTCTGCAATCAGTCGAAATCTATCTAAGTGCATTGGGCGTGTTTTGCAAAACGTTCTAAATTAATGTGTTTTTTATCGAAATGAAGTAACTGAATTTTTATCACAAGTGAGTAATTTGCTTTCAATTAATTTTATCTTTGTTGTGTATAAATTTGAATGTTGTAAGTCGTGCACAATACGAGCTATTGCCTTCCAAACTTGCATCTGTTTTGGAACGATCCATTTAATTGATAAACTAACACTGTTATCTTAACTGATTGTTTACTACGGATTCATTATCAGTTTACTGACCTAATTTCAAGTGTAAATTTAGAAAATTTGCCCGTTTTTACACCGCCTACCTTGTTTGGCATCAAATGTAAATAAAACTTGGTAGGCTATGCGTTTGACAGCTGGATTAAACATTGATTTTTTTCAAATTAATTTATTTTGTACAAATAGGTGGGAAATTGGGACGTGAGCGTTCCATTTTCGACGAATTTTCTAATATTTCTTATACTAATCAATAGTTCTGACGTTTGCTTTATTTATATTCTGTTACTCCACCAAGGCCTGGTGGATTACACTACAGTGGCGTAGGCGGGCTGAAAAGGCCTTGGATGGGGTTACATATTTTTTTAAAAACTTGGGAATTTTGTGGTTATCATTACTTCCTCTTGACTAACTGTTTGGAGGAAAACCGGTGAAATATAAGATAAGCTGTTGTGTAAATTACTAATGATACTGAGCTTGGGTAAAAATATTTGCATTTTAAATTTCTTCGAAAAATCAATATTGTGTCTAAGCTGGGATTGAAATAAAAAACGATTAAGAAGTTCTGACAGCTTTTGGAGGGAGATAAAAATTACTGGAAGACGGCCAAATGAGGATATAGCTTGAGCATATTTATTTATCGATTTATATGATAGCATTAAGGTAATATTCAATTAACAACCACACATATGCGATGTTGCAATAATTTGAAAGTGACTTGAGATTGATTTTCTTCTCCATTTTGACTGGCTGAATGGGGAAAATTTCATAATAATCATAAAAATTATGAGTAATCAAGACACAATTCAACAGAAATAGTGTAATAGACTAATTGGACTATTTCTGAACGTGAATCAGGGCCAATATACAAACACAGGACTGCTGCCAAGTTGTAAGAATTAAATCTGTCTAGTTTTTTCCGGCAATTTGGTCAATTTTCATCAAATCTCGTATTGTCGCGTTTTTTATATTCATTATTCAATTACGCAATTAACTTGTACACTTTGTGTTCTCTTGGGTCGTTGAGATTGGGCGCTGCTTAATTATACCTGATGGAGCAGTTAACCTGAAAATAAACAGACTCGGCTTCCGGTGTGACAGATCCGTGTGTGGATGATCCAACTAAAGCAACTGCATTACATCAGCCATGGCGTAAACACCACCATCATTTATTATACGTCTCCTATTGCCTTCGGGTAATATTCATTTCGTATTCATCAACAAAAAATGAAAGTTTGTTCAATTCTTAAAATACAAAAATGGACTTTCTTCGTGTATAATTTTTCTCTTAGCCTTTCGGAAAACGTTTTTCAGACACTTCTTAAATTTGGAGCTGTGTTGAACAAGTGCCAATGATCCTTTGGAAATACAGGTACAGGTAAATAAACTGTGGGTTAGATGGCGTAGTGCCAGAAACCCTACGACAAACAATAGGGCTTTAATTCCCTGATCTCTGGATATCATTAATTCTTGAAGATGGTAGGGGATGGAATCGGACGACCCACCACATTTGACTGGTACAGTCATTAAAATGAAAAATTAGCGATGTTGATGCAAGTATCTTTGTGTTTGGAACAAGAGAAATGCAAATGATGACTGTTTGATTGATCTCTTAAAAGTGATGGTCTTTACAAACTGTTCGTTAAAAAGTTTCAACGTGTTAAATGCATTGACGTAACGTAGTGGAATCATGTCAGAGAAAATATTCTACAGTTTCTTTGGTCTTTTTTTGTCGAATTTTTATCTAAGTGTTTGTTAAATGCAAGAGCGCATCTCTTCAATGAAACGTTTCAAAACACATGTCTTTAATAATATTTTTTTTTTCGGTTGCAGTTATATCCGTTCTGTTTCAAGTTCAATGTTACGCATAGTTCATTTGACAGGAAGACAATCTTTGATTACACTGTGATGAAACACGTAAACTTCTTTTAGACGAAAGATGTACTTTGTTTTCTGCGGCGGTGAATGTGAAAACAATGTTAATTTTTATTCGAGCTGTTTTAAGGAAATTGCATTTTGACTTCAGGAGATATCATTTTTTGAAAGATTAAAAAAAAAAAACCTTTGGAACTCGTTTGTTTCTATCGGTCTTACTTTTTCGTATAAATTCTTCTTCGTACCATATTACAAAAATTTTATTTATGTAATTTCTATATAGGCTTGCTATTATGTATGGGATCGGTTAAAAACAGCTAAAACGGTTTCAGTTAGAATCCTGGAATTTTAAGGAGACTTAGGACTTATTGAAAACTACTTCTTAAATTTTGTTAAGTTTTCAAATGCAAAGTTAACTTGATTTTTTTAATGGGAACATCAGTCAAGTGGCGACTTATTAAAAAGTTGTTTTATTCAATTAATTCAAGGCAAGATTAAAGATGCAAATTTCTGGCTTCTTTTGGCAAAAAAAAATTGTGTCCCTTTACTAAATAATTGTAAAAAAACATATACCAGATCATTAGTAACATTAAATAGATATAAAAAAATGTCAAATGTCAAAAAATAAATGACAGATAGAATTTTTCAAACATTGTTTTTATGTTCCTGGTATCTTACCTTACTTGAAAATTTTCTCTGGGGCGCGAGTTGTGGCGCACTCTTTATACAATAAAGACTAAAATTCATTTTTCATAAAAAATTGCGTAAAATTAAAAAATATAGTAAAACTTGAAATTGCTAATGATATCAACATAATTGCCAGTTTTAATAAAGTTTTGATCTTCATATGGAACTAGTTGGTCTTTAATTTTTAAAAGTAGGAACCCAGTTTTATAGTATGCATAAAAATAAATGATGATAAGTGTTAATAGTTACATTAATGACAAATATAATTCATGGACTAATAAGTTTGATGTTATGTCCTTTATAGGATAGTAAAAATGAACAACGATTAGCGATGTTGTTGATATTTCAAGGTAATATGCTTTTTTCAATGTACATTTTCATTTGCTTATCCTACTGATAGTATTCTAGTAAGCAAATAAATATTGTAAGCTTTATGACTTTGTAAATATGTCATTGCGTAAATGATCGTATTTTCATTCTACTGACCATGATACAATGTAATTGTCAAAAGTAAAGGATGAGTCGATGGAATTTGCATCCGGTTATTGCAAAACTACAGTATGCATCATAAAATGAACCTAAACCAAAATAAACGACAAGAGAGGTATTAATAGAAAGGCACGGTAAATGAATTAGCGTTTCCAGCACATAGGTACATATGCCACTTTTACAATTAATTGATTACTTAAATAATGATACTTCTTGTTAAAAATGACTTTGGTTTTTATCTTAAAACTGTTTCTTTGAGTTGATATTTATTAAAATTATGTTTTTCACAAACAATTTTTGTTATTTAACTTGCGTAAACTCATTTGTTAAAGTGACATCATTGTCAAAATAATAAAACCACCAATGTGTTAGGACTTAAAAAGCAGAGAAAAATTATTCAAGTCCAAAATCAAGAGGAAAATGAGCTTTTCTTTCTACTGAGTTAGAATAATGAAGTTTTAAGTACAGATTTGCTCGTTTCAGGTAAAGCAAAAAATGTGTTTCCTTTGCAGTTTTGGCGTAAAATCAAAGATAATGTTTTTTTCTTGTAAACTCAATCCGGGGACATACTGTATATAAAGGGTGTTATGATAAAATAATGCACAAAATTCGTAAAACCTAATTTTTATTTTAATAAATTCAACAATATTTTAAAAAGTCATTTAATAGCTTTTATAAAATCAAGTTTGTTTCGTTTATTTTTTTTACTCAATTTTTTTTTAAAGTAAAAATAGACTTTATCAAATAAAGATTGCAAAATTATAGCTTCCTATTTGAAAAAAAAACTTCGAATTGTTTTCAAAGTAAACACTGGGTTTTATGAATTTTGTGTGTTATTTTATGATAAACCTGTATTTTATTATAATACTATTTTCCATAGATATCTATGTGTATCCATTTACCAGATGAAGCAAACGCAAAAATAAATGGACTTGCAATCAACCTTAGCATAAACGTGCATTTCCTGTATCATTAAATTTGGGAATTACTTATTTCCGAATATAGGAAGGAGAACGCATACTTTATATGGGTTTCTACAAGACCACTCAAATGTGGATATTTTTAAACCAATCGACGCGTGTTCAGATAAGAAATTATTGTTACCATTGCGCCAAAACGCTAACTTTATAAATAAAGCCGTTATTTGTAAAACAAAATTAAAATGCTGCCATTTATTTTGCATTGTTGGAAGGAGAAGGGTAGATCTCGCTCTAAGGACCATCTTAAAGCGAGATCTACCTCTCTCTTTCCAACTAAAGCAAAGTAAATGGCTGCATTTGAATTTTGTTTTGCAAAGTTAGTATTTATAAAGTTAGCGTTTTGGTGCAATGGTAACAATAATTTCTTATCTCAAGACGGGTCGATTGATGTAAAAATATCCACATTTGAGTGGTCTTTAGAAACCCATATAAAGTGTGCGTTCTATTATGCTTAACATGCTTAAGTTTTTAAGTAAGAAAAATTTGCAGACTCGAAAGGACAACAGATTTATTCTTAAAATTTGATCCTTGTTTTTGAATGTTGGTACTTTTTCAAGTTTTATATGAGTAATATTTAAAAAATTAAAATCAAAATTTGAATGATTATCTAAAAATGGAAGTAGGAATTATATTTTCGGTGTCTAATTTTCAAAACTTTACACTTACACATCAAAGTAGCGAAATGTAAAAGAATCAGACAGTTTAATAGATTTTTAGGTTACAAACAAATTTTTCTTTTCCACAACTATAAGTAGCTTGAGTTGAATTGTGACAGAGAAATTGCACTTTTATAATATTAAGTTCCGATTTGGAGCCAGTTTAT